GACATTTAATCCAAGTCTAATCAAGTTACTCTCTTATTGATATCCCTTTAATGCAATTCCATTGCATTTGGTCTCTGCTTGCTTCTTCATCTTCACTCAGGTGCTAAAGAATGGACATCTACCACAGCAGACCCATAGAATGGCAAATGTCCTAAACAACACTCCGGCCTCAGAATCAGCCCTTAAGGCATGTGGATCCGGCTGAAATGCCCATGAGAGTATTTCAGGCATGGAAAGCCAGACACTCTGGGGAAAAAAAAAAAACCTAAATGAAAGAACAGGTCATCAAAGAAGGAGGTACCTTTCTCTGAAGGGAGGAGAAAACTTCTACTTTGACCATGGCCTTGTCTAAATATGATCAGAGTCAGTGAACTCAGGGGGCTTCCATAGCCTTGGCAGCTCATGACAAGAGCCTAGGGTGATTACTGACGCCATAAACAAGAGTGTCAATTTGTTAAGTCAACAACAGGAGTCACTGTGCACTTACTCCTCATGTGGGATCTTTGTCCTTAGTGTGCTGTACATTGAGATTTAATGCTATAACTAGTACTCAAACAGTATTTTTCACTTTATGTTTCTGTGTGGCAGCAAACTGTTGAAATCTTTACTTAATGTATGCTAAACTGATCTTCTGTATATAAAGAGAATCGAAAATGAATCTTGATATGAATGGAAGGAGAGAGGGAGTGGGAAAGGGGAGGGTTGCGGGTTGGAGGGACGTTATGGGGGGGAAGCCATTGTAATCCATATTCTGTACTTTGGAAATTTATATTCATTAAATAAAAGTTAAAAGAAAAAAGAATGGACATCTAGGCTTCTAAACAATTTCTACACACAAAATTATATATCATCCCCTCATACTGAGATTGGTATTTCTTCCCTGTCAACTGTTATTGATTTTATTTCTTCTTTCTTCATTGTCTTATTTTTTGAATACAGTATGTGACAAACATACAGGAAGTCTAAAAATGACAAATATACCAGCTTACAAATTCTAACAGTGAACATTCCTGTAGCTCCCACCAATATCAAAAACCAGCATGACTGTCCAATGGAAATACTTGTGGACTCTCTTGTGGATAGTAGCACCCCTATACCCCTAGTAGTAACCATGCCAGCCATTCTGAATCTTTTGCCTTAAAGTTTTACTAATTGTAGATCTTGAAATGATAAGATTTAATTTGTTGCCTGTGTTTGAAAGGTATGTAAATGGAAAACACACCACAGACTTTAAAAAATATCTAGCTTCTTTTACACAGCATTTTAAAGGCTTACTCAATTTTTCACAAATGTTTATATATAAGCATGTTCAAATGTAGTATTTTTGGAAAAATATTCAGTAGGATTTTTTAACCCATTCTAATATTGACAGGTATTTGGATATTTCTAGCATTATATAATGAATAGCTATAATGAATAGACTTACTATGAACATTCTTGTCCCTGTTTCCTAGTCATTTCCTGTGCACATAGGGTAGAACTGTTAAATCATACAGTACGTACATCTTCAGCATCTTCCAATAGGGTCAAGATTTTCATAGGAAATGTCATCATTTCATATCCCCATTATCAATTTATGAAAATTCTTGTTGCTCCACATCTTCACCAACATTTGATTTTTTTCAACTTTAAGATTTTGCCACGATGATCATTGTAAATTGATATTTATGTTCTCTTGGTTTTTTTTTTACTTTACAATTTTAGTTTTTTCTTCTTGATAATTGTACATTTAATATTTTGGTGCAATATTAGAAGTTTAAGTGGAAACAATATGTACTCTTCGTCATTCTGACAACCAAGGAAATTCTTCTCAGGCTTTAGCATTAAATGTAATGCTTACTTTATGTTTTCTTTAAGATACATTTCATTAAATTTCTATAATTTTCCTAGTTTATGAATTTCTATTATAACTGGATATTAAATTAGCAAGTGTTTCTTCTGCATTTTATGTGATAATTATATGATTTCTCTTCCTTGTTAGGTTAATATGAAAATTACATTTTGCATATGTTGTGAAACCAAACTTGTACCCTGAAATAAATCAAACCTGGTTGTGAAGTATCTTTTTTTTTTTTTTTTACTAAAGTCAGATTAGGCTTAGTATTATTTTAATTATAGCTTTAATATCTATGTTCAGGACAGAGGTAGGTCTGCAACAGTTTTTCTTGTGTAATTTTCTGGGTTATACAGTGAAAGCCATGTTACTTTAAAAATACAAGGTAGAAAATTGTCTTCTTTTTCTATTCTGGAAAAATTTGTATAAAAACTGTAATTATTGTTTTCTTTAAATATTTGGTATAGTTTACTGGTGAGCTTTGGGGCATGCTGTGTGTGGGTGGGTTCAGGAGAGGGGTAGGAGAGAAAGATACAAAGTCAGGGTTCTTTTAAATGTGTGTTGTTCATAATTTATATTTATTAGGGTGTCAGAATTAAGTTGCATTTTTCTTGGAATGTGTTCTTTGCAGGTAAATGCTAATATTTACTAATATGTGATCCCTGTTAAACATGAGTAGGAATAAGAGAGGGAAGAGATGTACAATTTGGGACATGCTCAAGCTGACTTGCCCCAAATGGTAGAGTTAGAAACATACCAGGGACTCCAATTTAATCCCATCAAGGTGGCATGTACCAATGCCATCTCACCAGTCCAAGTGATCAATTTCAGTTCACAATTGGTCATAATGAAAGGACTAAGAGTCAAAGGAAGCACATAAACAAGTCTAGTACCTGCTAATACTAACTGATAGAATAAATAAAGGGGAGAGTGATCCACATGGGAAGCAAGATACTCAGCAGACTCATAGAATGGCGGATGTCCTAAACAGCACTCTGGCCTCAGAATCAGCCCTAAAGGCATTCCGATCTGGCTGAAAAACCCATGAGAGTATTTCAGGCATGGAAAGCCAAGACACTCTGGCAAAAAAAAAAAAAAAAAAAAAAAAAAAAACAAACCAACCCTAAATGAAAGATCTCTGTGAGTGAGATCCCAGTGGAAAGAACAGGTCATCAAAGAAGGAGGTACCTTTCTCTGAAGGGAGGAGAGAACCTCCACTTTGAATATGACCTTGTCTAAACAAGATAAGAGTCGGAGAACTCAGAGGGCTTCCATAGCCTTGGAAACTCATGACTGGTGCATAGGGAGATTACTGATGCCATAGACAGGAGTGTCAATTGGTAAAGTCAACAACAGGAGTCACTGTGCACTTACTCCTCATGTAGGATCTCTGTCCTTAATGTGCTGTACATTGAGACTTAATGCTATAATGAGTACTCAAACAGTATATTTCACTTCGTGTTTCTATGGGGGTGCAAACTGTTGAAATCTTTACTTAATGTATACTAAACTGATCTTCTGTAAAAAAAAAAAAAAAAAGAAGAAGAAGAAATTATCAATTCCCAACTTGACTCTCACTGGGATTAAACATGATAATAGGTCTGATCTGATTTCATCATCATTTAAAAAATCATCTATTATTTTTCACTTTTTGTTTCTGTGTGGGAGCAAACTGTTGAAATCTTTACTTAATGTATGCTAAACTGATCTTCTGTATATAAAGAGAATCGAAAATGAATCCTCATGTGAATGGAAGGGGAGAGGGAGTGGGAAAGGGAGGGATGTGGGTGGGAGAGACGATATAGGGGGGGAAGCCATTGTAATCCATAAGCCGTACTTTGGAAATTTATATTCATTAAATAAAAGTTAAAAAAAAATTACTAATACATTTTCTGTAAGAACTTTCATTACTCTTCTAGTGATATTCTTCTTTGAATCTGTACTATTCAGTCATATGTAATAATTTTTATTATTATTTATTCTTTCTTTCCTTCTATTTTCCATTTTATTTTGTTATTTTCTATGCTATTAGTTTAAAAGTAGGGCTTTAACTGTACCCCACAATGTTTGATACTTAATATTGTTTCTACTCCAACAGTCATCTAATTCTATTTTTATTTCTTTCTTAATCCATGAGTTATTTATAAATGATTGCTTAGTTTCAAATACATTAGTTTCCTATTTATCTTTTATTTTTGATTTCTAGAAAACTATTGTGTGATCACAACATGTCCTCTGTGGGACTTCAGTTCCTCATTTCTAGAGGGAGGGATGAAAAGGGACAAACAATTGTCATTCTATCAATGTCTATGTACACTTGAAATGACCACAAGTTAATTGTGTGTATGGTAATATGTATGTAAATTAGATCATTGCGCTACATTTTTTGTTGCTGAATATTCAGTAATATTGTTATCCAATTGTAACAAAATATCTTTGTTTTTCTGCATATTCTGCAAGTTATAGAAAGAGCTGTGCTAATATCTTCATGTTAATTATTTTCATATACATTTAATGGTCATAAAATTTCAAATTATTCCACCTTCCTAATGAACTGAATCTTTTGTCAATTAAAGTATCTCCCTTTATCTCTAGTAAATATACATTAGTCTATTTTGATATAGTACAATCACATCAAGCAAACTTTCTTTTAACAGAGAGTTTGCGTAACATATCTTGTATTTACTCTCAGACTTTTTGGTTCATATATTTTACTTATGTCTTGTGAACACCATATATTTTGAGTTTTGTGTGTTTAGTTTCAATTCAATAATTGTGAGTTTTAGAAAGAGCTTTTTGACTATTCATATTTTATGTAATTATTAGTACATATGAGTTTATGCCCATCATTTTACTGGATTACATGTATGTACAATTATTCATCTTGCATTTTCCTTGCATTTAATTGGCATAATTGTCTACTTACTGTGCCAGTGTTCAATTACACTTTTAGCAATACTAGGAGAGATGACGATACAGATAGAGGTAGTTATGAAAGGATTTTTTACATAGACTACCTTATGAAATTATAAGCATTGGTTAAGTATTCCCTGTAAAGTTGCCATTTGCAAGTTTAATGCTAGAGCTTGAAATTCTATTGGGCAGTAAGTTAGAAAAGAAATAGGAAAGCAAAGTAGAGAAATCAAGAAAAAGTTGGAACCCTTACTCATGAGCTGGAGTCCACAAGTTCAGACTGGGTCCTAGGTCAATTATTGTTCTTAACCTTGATGCTGTGGGATCTTGCAGAAGTCAGGACCTTTGTCATGGTGTTAAATCCATTCTACCTTGCCTCAAGAATCAGAGAAGCTGTAGGAGGATCCAAGGAAAGATGGTGAAGTAGATATTTGATGCAATGATTAACATGCTACTTCAGATACCCACATCGCATATCAGAGTGTCAGCGTTCAAGTCCTAGCTCTGCTTCCTATGCCAGCTTCCTCTAATGTGTACCCTGGGAGGTGGCAGGCAATGGCTCAAGCAGGTAAGTCCCTTACACCCACATGAGAGATCCAGTTTGAATTATTTGCTCCTGGTTTCCCCTTGACCCAGCACCCACTATGTGGGTATTTGGGGAGTACACCAGTGAATGGAAGATATATTCCTCTCTTTCTCTCCTTATCTCTCTCTCTCTCCCTCTCCCTCTTTCTCTCCTCTCTCTTTTAACCTTCAAATAACTAACTAAATAACTAACTAAATAAGAAAAGTGGGACCCTTTCTGCCATAGTCACTGACTCAAGTCAATAGAGTAGGCCAGCAAGTAAAGGACAGTATCATAAAAAAGCTACATAAAGACTGTTGCTTCCCTCTCACTTTAGAAATCCTCCACCAGAATGTATGGATTATCCAAACAGGATAGAAAGTCTGAGAACCATGATTTAGTCTAACCATTGTAAAGCCACCACAACTGGTTTAGGTTATTCCACATTTTCTCCCATGATTTACACATTTCAGAAATGACATACACTTTCATATTCTTTTAGTGAGTGCCACAATGATTAGTCTATATGTAGTCTTTATCTTAAAATTCTAATGTTGTTTGTGCTTTTATTAAATTTCACTGGACTCCACACTTTAACTCCATTCAGCACTTGCCCTATATGTGCTATTGTTGTAATATATTTCAATTCTCCCTGCATTACAACTCATAAATCAGTTGCATTTTTACTTTGGATATTTGTAAAATTTAGAGTTTTTCCCTCTACATTCTTTCCTGCATCTACAAGTTCCTATATGGGACTATTTTCTTTCTGTCTGAAGAAATCTTTTTAAAATTTCTTTTAATGTGGGTTCGCAAATTATGACCTTTTGTTGGTTTTTTAATAGTGTTATATTAATATTTAATTAATTTGTGGGTGCATTGTTTTTTTTTAACTTTTATTTAATGAACATAAATTCCCAAAGTACAGCTTATGGATTACAATGGCTCCACCTCCACATAATGTCCCTCCCACCCGCAACCCTCCCCTTTCCCACTCCCTCTCCCCTTCCATTCACATGAGGATTCATTTTCGATTCTCTTTATATACAGAAGATCAGTTTAGTATATATTAAGTAAAGATTTCATCTATTTGCACCCACATAGAAACACAAAGTGAAAAATACTGTTTGAGTACTAGTTATAGCACTAAATCACAATGTATAGCACATTAAGGACAGAAATCCTACATGAGAAGTAAGTGCACAGTGACTCCTGTTGTTGACTTAACAAATTGACACTCTTGTTTATGGCGTCAGTAATCACCCTAGGCTCTTGTCATGAGCTGCCAAGGCTATGGAAGCCTTTTGAGTTCTCCGACTCTGATCATATTTAGACAAATTCATAGTCAAAGTGGAAGTTCTCTCCTCCCTTCAGAGAAAGGTACCTCCTTCTTTGATGACCTGTTCTTTCAACTGGGATCTCACTCACAGAGATCTTTCATTTAGGTCTTTTTTTTTTTTTTTTTTTTTTTTTTTTTTTGCCAGAGTGTCTTGGCTTTCCATGCCTGAAATACTCTCATGGGCTTTTCAGCCGGATCCACATGCCTCAAGGGCTGATTCTGAGGCCAGAGTGTTGTTTAGGACATCTGCCATTCTACGGGTCTGCTGTGTATCCCACTTTGCATGTTGGATCGTTCTCTCCCTTTTTGATTCTATCGGTTAGTATTTGCAGACACTATTCTTGTTTATGTGATCCCTTTGAATCCCAGTCCTATCATTATGATCAATTGTGAACTGAAATTGATCACTTGGACTAGTGAGATGGCATTGGTACATGCCACCTTGATGGGATTGAATTGGAATCCCCTGGTATGTTTCTAACTCTACCGTTTAGGGCAAGTCACTTGAGCATGTCCCAAATTTTACATCTCTTCCCTCTCTTATTCCCACTCTTATATTTAACAGGGATCACTTTTCAGTTAAGTTTCAACACTTAAGAATAACTGTATTAATTACAGAATTCAACCAATAGTATTAAGTAGAACAAACAAAAAAATACTAGGAGGGATAATGTATTAAGTTGTTCATCAACAGTCAGGGCAAGGGCTGATCAAGTCACCATTTCTTATAGTGTCCATTTCACTTCAACAGGTTTCCTTTTTGGTGCTCAGTTAGTTGTCGCCGATCAGGGAGAACATATGATATTTGTCCCATTGGGACTGGCTTATTTCACTCAGCATAATGTTTTCCAGATTCCTCCATTTTGTTGCAAATGACTGGATTTCATTGTTTTTTACTGTTGTATATTATTCTGTAGAGTACATAACCCATAATTTCTTTATCCAGTCTACTGTTGATGGGTATTTGGGTTGATTCTAGGTCTTAGCTATTGTGAATCGAGCTGCAATAAACATTAAGTTGCAGACAGCTCTTTTGTTTGCCAATTTAATTTCCTTTGGGTAAATTCCAAGGAGTGGAATTGCTGGGTTGAATTGTAGGTCATATGAAGCAAGACCCCTACATTACACCTAACACAAAAATCTACTCAGCATGGATTAAAGACCTAAACCTATGACCGACACCATCAAATTATTAGAGAACATTGGAGAAACCCTGCAAGATATTGACACCTGCAAAGACTTCCTGGAAAAGACCCTAGAGGCACAGGCAGTCAAAGCCAAAATTAACTATTGGGATTGCATCAAATTGAGAAGTTTCAGTACTGCAAAAGAAACAGTCAGGAGAGTGAAGAGACAACCGACAGAATGGGAAAAAATATTTGCAAACTATGCTACAGATAAAGGATTAATAACCATAATCTACAAAGAGATCAAGATACTCCACAACAACAAAACAAACAACCCACTTAAAAGATGGGCCAAGAAACTCAATAGACATTTTTCCAAAGAGGAAATCCAAATGGCCAACAGGCACATGAAAAAATGTTCAAGATCACTAGTAATCAGGGAAATGCAAATCAAAACCACAATGAGATTTCACCTCACCCCGGTTAGAATGGCTCACTACCAACAACAGATGCTGGCGAGGATGTGGGCAAAAAGGGACACTAACCCACTGTTGGTGGGAATGTAAACTGGTAAAGCCACTATGGAAGTCAGTATGGAGATTCCTCAGAAACCTGAATATTACCCTACCATTCAACCCAGCCATTCCTCTCCTTGGGGGCATGTTTTCTGACTCCCTTTTTCTTTCTGTTAAGAAATAAGCCTGAGGGTCAGTGTTGTGGTGCAGCGGGTTAAGCCATTGCCTACGACACCAGCATCGCATAGGAACACTGGTTCAAGTGCCAGCTGTACCACTTGTGACCCAGTTCCTGCTAATGTTCCTGGAAAAGAAGCAGAATATGGTATACCTGTTTGGGTGCTTGCCACTCATGTAGGAGACTCTGGTGGAGTTCCCAGACTCATGGCTTCAGCCTCCCACAGTCCTGTCTATTGCTGCCATTTGGGGAGTGAAACACAGGATGGAAGATTCTCTCTCTCTCCCTCTCTCTCTCTTTCCTTCTCCTTTTCTGTCTCTCCCTCTCATTGTCTCTTCTTCTGTCACCATTAATCTTTCAATAAAATGTTTAAAAAATATAAAAAGAAATTATCTTGTTCTGTATAATTGTTATTCTCATGGAGATAATTCACATTTGAGATAATTCACATTTTTCTCTGCTGTGCATTTTTGATTGTTATCTTTGTATTTGGTTTTATATATTTCTATCCAAAGGTAAATTTCCATTTAATTATCCCAATTTGCCAATAAATTACTTTCTGAAATTCATCAAATATTATCATACTTTTCTTATTCACTTTCTTTCTCATCTCCTTTGGGACTCTATAATGAGCAGAATTTATATGTTCTTAACCTTTAGATTGATTAGTCTCTCAGCTGTACTTCTGCATTGTTAATTCTTTGTGTACCACTTGAATTTCTTTTCTTATTCATTAATTTTTTCTTCACTTGTGTCTAATTCTGATTAGGGTGATCTCATATTTTCATAATATTCATTATGTTTTTAAATTTTATCATTTTAATCTTTTTTAAAAGTGAAATATTATATTTCATTTTTAATGCCTGGCGGAAACTATTTATATTCAGTTTTTACTTCTAAAATATAATGAACTAGTGCTGTTAAATTCTGTATGAATAATTTCCATGATTATGATCTTGATAATATGTTCTGTTTGGGATTCTTTCTGGTTATTTTAGCTTCTAGTTTATTGCCTTATATGCTTCATAGAATTTAATTGCCTTATGGATAATTTTTTTGATAAAACTTATATTTAGAAATCATAACACCTAGGTTGTTATATCAGAAATTATTTAACTTCATTCACTTTTAAATTTCTCCTAGCCCAAGAAAAATGTGTCCGAATGGTATATATAGAATGCCCTGATAACCAGGAAACATTTCCTACCACCAGCTTAACATTTTAGTCCCTGTTTAGAGCAGGCACCGTCCCACCTGATAGTTCAACCTTCCCTAAGTACTGAAATTTGATTCTTTCCCTTCAGATAAGAGAGTTTGTTTCAAAACTGTATTTTCCTCTTAACTTTTCTAGGATTGACAGATGAAAAGAAGGGACAACAGGGAAGCCTCTGGAGTCACTGTTCCTAGGGCCACAATTTCTGACTCCTTAGACACATAGCTGTCTTTCCTGGAGCCCTTCCCTTCAAGTGCTTTTAAAAAGTTCCTCTCCACACAAGCGGCTTTGGTTTAACTGACTGCCTATTATTTTCTCTCATTTTCCTGGCCTGGAAAGATTTTACTATCTTTACATTTGGGGAATGAAGGAATTATTTTTTTTTTAATTTTTACTAATTCTTTTAGTATCATTACTGGAAAGATTAGTCCAAATCATCTACGTAGCCATCACAGA